ACAATGACTCAAGGACTTGCTCTTCTTATTCAGTTTTTGATTTAATTTTGAGAGATGAACTAAGAATTTTGAGCAAGAGACTGGGTCTGCAGGTCATCCATGGTGTTTTGCTACTTGACCATGTTGTTTTGAGAAATGCACTTTTGGTTTTGTAAAAATGTCAATTCTGATCTGAGAAATTTACCAAAGCGACTGAGAAAAACTGTAAAAAGTGCTGGTTTTGAGATTTTGCTCAGCTGGTAAAACTGTCGACCTTATATTTGATACATTGGCAGAATAAAGTAGTTCACTTTTAAAAGATTGTTTTAATACACTTTGTGTTATTTTTGTTTTTTATTTACACACTTTTGAACGCTGTTGAACTGTTGTATTATATAAATGCAATGTCACACTTCTAGCAGTACTTCAGGGCTGTATTTTGACACTGCTTATTATATATAGCCAAATACAGCTTTATCCCACTGTTACACTTTTTATACTGTGATCTGTCACTAGCTTTAACTGAATTTACGAACTGTGGTATAAATTATAGTAATAATACATTTTATTTGTAATACACTTTTTTTTAGACTCAAAGCGCTAAAAATGAAATGCAATATCATACTTCTAGCAGTGCTACATGTCTGTATTTTGGCACAACTGTTATAATATATAGCCAAATTTGATATCATGATCTGTCATTAGCTTTAACTGAATGTGAGCATCAATTCTGATTCCATGTCAAATGGCAGTTTTGCATTATTCAAAACAGTAATTTACTAGGCCTGTCAACATATCTGTTTTTGTGGTATGATATACAGCAACAAAATGTATTGAGATAAACAAGATTATTGTCTTTTTAAGAGCATTTTGACACTATAATGGCATCATAAGGCAAGTACACTCTTCCAAAGGAGACATAATATCTTATTCTTAAGAATATGTCAATATTTATAGTATTTTAACAATTTAGTAATTAGGCATAGGAATCAGGTTGTGAAAACGGATATCCTTAATAAATAAATAACAATAATAAATATTAGCAAAGATGTCCAAGGTTAAAAGAACTAGAAAAAAGTAACAGATCTAATTTCAGTCATCAGGCACCCACATGAAAATATACTATAGTAGTTTATTGTAAAAACTGTGTTTTTTTAACCATACTGACACATCCAATAGAGATAGAGAGGTTGGGCAACCTGCTAAAATGTGGTTAGAATTGTTTTTTTTTTTTTTTTGTATGAGCGATATATATTGAATCACCAAAAATTATATTATTGAGGACATGTCTACATGTTGTGCGATAAGTTGATATTCTGATTATTATGACTAGTCTATCATTTAGTACATTTACTGAAACCTTTAGTATGTTTTTTTTTTTTTTACTTAATATTTTTCGGAGAGGAGACCAGTTTTTGTGATCAAATGAAAAATTATTCATTAAATTTGCACCTATTTGCAGCAATACATACTTTTTAAGGTTTTTATTAACCTACTGTATATAATTATTCAGTTAAGAGCTGACTGCTCATTATCTGTTGTTGTTTGACTAATATTAAATGCTCAGACAGCAGGAATAAGATGTTTTTACTTTAAGGCACAGCCAGCAAAATGAGAAAGTTACATACCACACAATTCATGAATGTTTACATTCCAAGGCAAAACCAATTGAATGCTTCATCTGACAATGGACATAATTAATGGTCATAACTGACTTTTATCTTTGAGAACAAGATTTAATTTGTGCATCATAACTTTAATTCACATGTTCAAATAAGGCATTTCTCAGATTTCCCACATGGACTTGCACTCTGACATATGGCCCATGTAACTTTCACTTTTACATGAAAGTGACTCCTACTTCAGTGCTCATTAATGGGTGTTTTACTCGCCAGGAGCAATGTTTTAACATACCTTTTAACATGCACAGAGCCAGTTTAGAGAGTAATAAAAGAATGTAGAAAATGCAAAATGCAATTTTAAAATTTTTATGCAAAACTGAAAAACTGCAATATCTATATGCATATTGTACTGCGGAGGATATATCGTTTAAAATTGTACGGAGTAATGCAGCATACCTAATTTGCATACATTTGTATCATAATAATCTCAACAGGTGTTTTTTTTTAAGGTTAGAGGAATTTGGTAAAATCTGTCACTCCATAATTTGGAAAATACATTTTCAATTCTTTTTTTTTTATTTGGTCAAATAAAATAATATATAATGAGCATGGCCAGTAGCTATTTCTGCAAAAAAAATCTGTGGATTTATGTGAAATGCTTTTTGGAGTATCATAACTAAAAACTTTATAGTGTATATTTAAAAAATGTATTTAATGTTTACAATGCAAATCCAATTAGATCCACTTATTTGGTAAACAAAGCGAATCTCTCATATAATAGATCTACTGACAGACAGAAAATATTACTTTACAAACTGTATTGTAAATAAATCAAATGAACACATTCATATTAGTCAATTACTGAAATTATTAATAAAACTGAATAAATATAAACATTTACACAAGTCAATAAAGAGACTCAATTATTGGTTTCTGCGTGCACAGATTCTGTGTGAGCCTAAAATAAGGCACATAATGTATTAACAAATCCCTCAGTAAAATGAAGTGCTGCTGAAATGGTTCAGTCCATAAGAAAAAAGGCCTTCGAGAAAGTGGCCTGTAAAATATATATTGTAGTTTATATTTGAAATCTGAAGACATGGACTAATTACCTACAACAAACACTTTAAAGGGTATTTTGAAAACAAAAAACACTTCAGGAAAGCCAAAAAGACAAAATTTAAAAATTGGCAGGTGCTTTAAACAGCAGTGTTTTCTCCTGCAGTGTCTCTCCATAATGAAGCAATATTGTGTGTGTTTTAATAAGAGAATGGCAGTGCATGGGAAAGCTGATGAGAGTGCCTGGATAAGCTCGAGGCTTCATGTGACCCGCAGGAATAGTGCTGGGCCGCTGTCACACTTTTTGACAGCATATTAATAGGGATTTGTGGCCCAGATGTCTGCCGCTTCTGAGAGGTGCCAGCGCAGCTCTGCCACTCCATTTCTCTCCAAAGCAAATCCCTTTTTTTTTCTTGCTTTGTATGCAAAAGTGTCATCCCTGCTGAATGACTCTGACTGTGGGGAAAATTAGTTGTCATTCTTCACTTTTATTTGGTTATTTGTTCAGAAAGCGTATGGTTATAATTTGGGAATGACGTTTGTTTGAATGCTTGTCTTTAGTATTACTTTACATGCGGTATAATTACTAAATTATATTCAAAGTGTAATGTTTTCATTTAAGCAATGCATTAAGATATAATCTTACTTCAGACACTGACTCCACCCACTTTAATGATTCTGCTTGATATTTTAAGAAAAACTGAAAGGTGTGAAAAGGATGAAGGATTTCTCAAACAAAAAATGTCCATGTATTTTTAAAGGCAAATAAGATCAGTCTCTTTTTAAGAAGAGACCATTTATTTGGTTGAGTGCGCCACCTTGTGGCTTGATACGAAATATTTACTTCAGTTATAATATTAACTACTGTAATAATGTTAGTTATTAGAGCTGGGCGATTAATTGAAAAGTAATTGAAATCGACAGTTAGAACCTATAATCAATCTAATTTTTCCAGGTCAATTTTTTCAATTACTTTTCCTATTATGTGTGTAGGGTCAAGGGTTTGCAGCCACATCTGATCTCTGGTCAAGAAGGATGATGGACCTATTCTTGAGCCTTACTTTGCACTATAGTGGCAATGATTGGAAGCTGAACCAGAGATGCAGAGACAGCATATTGTCCATTACATTCAATTTTTTATTTACATTAAAATATTTGCTTACAGAAGATGTAAAAACACTGTTTAAAATATTATTTACAGGATATACAATCATTTTATTTAGAAGAAATACTGCTTTTTTTCTACTTTTTAATATTAAAAACATTTAAAATAACCTTTTTTCTTCTGATAATTTTTTTTCTTCTGTATTCAGGGGGGCTAATATTTTTGACTTCAATTTTTTTATACACATATTTTTAGCCCCCTGTTAATTTTTTCCCCAATTTCTTTTTAACAGAGAGAAGATTTTTTCTAGAAATACTCATTTCTAATACTGGCACAGTGGTGGTAGTGTGGATAGACCCATATATATATATATATATATATATATATTTATTTATTTATTTATTTATTTATTTATTTATATGGTATTGATAAGAATTATAAAAATATTTTCTCAACAACTAAGTATTTCTTGGGTACTAAAATAACTTTGTTCTTGTAGCACTACAATAATGAGCATCATTTCAAGAGTTCACACTTCGATATTGCTTGATAATATTAGCAAGTTTGGCATCCTTTCCCAGGAGAAGACCCTGAGCTCGGAGATAATTGAGCCCAGGGCTCCCGCCTGGTCGATGAGCATGTAGGGGGTACGAGATCAGGAAGTTCTCGAGAGCTTCCCTTGGTAAAGGAGGAAAGGGGAGATGGGGAGGATGGGAAGATTCTTCAAAAAAATAAAAATAAGGGAGTAATACTAGACCAGCTATTTAGAGTGAGTTTGGATTAATCCGACTGGCTTACTAATGATTATGGATGGGAGACCAGCCACAATTAATCATATTACATGCTCCTCTCGAAATTAAGCTGCGGTCAAACTAGAGTTTTAACATGCAATATTCTCTCGTATGGCGCTGCATACTGTACAGAGAGGTCATGTTTTGATCCTTGATTGGTCTCACGTAGTCAAGTGATGCAATTTCGCAGGTCAGAGTCCACAAAACTAGAACTTTGCAATGCAGCGAAATTGAAAAACTTGTTGCACGAGCTTGCATTTTTGATCTGACGCATTTGCGTACGTATGAATGGAAGTCTATGGGGAGAAAAGTGCAGTGCAGTGTAAAGTAAAGCGTTCCCTTTGACTTCACATTTTTTCACTTTAACTTCAATTTATGCATGCTCGATTTATCATTGTGAAACTGAAATAAGATTTCTGATGATTTTTTATCATTGCATTTCAGGTATCCTCTTTTCCACATTGGTGTTTGGACCTGCATGTGGTTTCATCCTGGGATCTGTCTGTACCAACTTTTATGTGGATGCTTTGTTCATCGACACAAGTGAGTTTCTCTTTATCCTCTGCACTCCAAATCCAAATACAACACAAACACTCAGAACAACAGAAAATGCTGCTAGGCATTTTGTTTCTTACCACCACGGCTCTTGTGTCTTTTGAATAATTGAAAGCACAAGGCCTCAAATTCTGGCTCACTGTCACAATCAATAATCAGCAAGTGAATCTGAAATAGAAGAAAAATTTGGCATTCATTTCAGCCACGCTTGGAATCCACATTCCTGCTTGCTGATACACTATGTTGGCATCTCTATAATAGACACATTGCATTAAATAAAACAAGAAAACTCTTTAGATACATATTTTTGTAGAATAAAATACACCAAGTGGATCAGTGACTTAGTTTTGATGTTAGATTTCTGCGAGTTTCGTCATGTAGAGATTTGTTGTCATTGTTGTTTTAGAAGCTTTTCTCAAATGTCAGCAAAATGATATTTTATTTACAGATGTTTTTCCATTCCTCCATTGTGTCTTCCAAAACCACACACATATAATACAGAAAGATGTTAGCTGTGTTTCAACGTAAAGCAAATCTATCCACAAACACTATCAATGGAGCAGCTGATTAGTCATGTTGGTTTTATGTTCACTACATCAGAGTTTATTCAGCAAATGCATTTACATTCAATTCAATTCAGCTTTATTTGTATAGCGCTTTTACAATGTAGATTGTGTCAAAGCAGCTTCACATAAATGGTCATAGTAACTGGATCAGGGTAGTTCAGTTTTTAGTGTTTTACATCTTCTGTTATTTTTACTTAATCTCAAACGGGCATTAACAAAAAAAGTGTAATATACTGTAAGGCAGAGGTGTCAAACTCATTTTAGCTCAGAGGCCACATGTAGGAAAATCAATCAACAGACCAGTAAAATCATGGTACATATCATTAATTAAATCATTCATTTTCTTTTCGGCTTAGTCCCTTTATTAATTTGGGGTCGCCACAGCAGAATGAACAAGCGGTATATATCATATAACTTAAGAACAACAACTTCAGATTGTTTTGTTTATTTTATTGCGTTTAACATAAAACGTAAAGCCGGAGCATGAGGACAACACAATCTCATGGCAGTTCATAACATTTTGATTTAGTGGCTAATTTATATGAATTTGTATGATCTCATTCGTACAATTTAGTGAGATTTGCTTATCCACCAATGACCGTTGCGTTTAGGGGTGTGTGTCGGGTGCAACGCCTCCTTTTTTTATATCGTACATTTTCATACGACTGAACTCTAAGGTAAACTAAACTGATAAAACGGAAAATAATTAAGTTTCCTTGTAAGACCACCTCTATGGCAGGGCATAGATGTGGTCTTTCTCTCTGAGAAGGCTGTTAACCTGACGCTGATTTAGGGCTTTGGATTGGATGAAATTAACAGTTTGCAATTGTGCCATCCAGTGGACACTATTGGAACAGCAGTTTCTTTTATTGAAAAATTGCAGCTCTTATTTTGTACTTTACAGAATCATCTCGTGAGCCAGATTACACCCATTTGCGGGCCTGATCCAGCCCACAGGCCATACATTTGACACTCCTGCTGTAAGGGATATCTGAAAAAGGAATTTGCCCTCAAATTTTTACAAATAATTATTCATAAATGTAATCTAACCAACAGGGCTAGTGTGTTTTGAATATAGTGCACTGTCTTTCCACATCTGGGAGAGTTATGGAGTGGAGAAGCCCCAAAGAAGTGTACCACCCAGCTATCGACCAATATATTGGCGTTCATCAAACAATATAAGGCAACTTATTAGTATGAACAAAATACTTTCAGCACACCATGATTAGGAGGCTGTATGTAAATAAACACCATAATATGTGCGCAGATATTAAAGAAACATGCCAAGTGAACATTCTTGCTTATCTGAAAAACAATGCTAAAGTCAGATATTCTGCTTGAAAAGGGGTGTTCTGTGACACAACACTGTCTTTGTTTTAGTTTCTTTAACCCACCCAATGCCAGTATAGCCACTTATATTTCAGCACCCTGGGATACCTTGGTGGAAAACCACATGTTTAATTAATTCATTTAAAAATAGTAGCAGACAGTAGCAGATTCCGAAATGAGACACCGATTCAGATTTCCACATGAGGTAATTATTAATTACCAAATAATATGAATATTACTAATACAAACATTCGGTGAGCAGGTTATATTGTAACACCATGTTCTAACAATACACTGTGACGAGATTTGCATTGATAAGCAATTTGGCTGTTTGCACCAGACGAAACAAGAAATTTAAATATAACCTTCCACACTGTAAAAAATAAATTGTTGAGGAAACATTAAAAAAATAAGGCAACTTGATGCAGTAAGAACTTTGAGTTGTCTCAACAACAGTTTTTTAGTTTTTCTCAGTAACAATATTTTGTTCAGCTAACATAATTTTGTTTATTTATGCAATGTTGATTATTGTATTTTACTAATAAAGATATTATTGTCACATCAACTGAAGCAACAATTACTGCTGTTGAGTCAAATAATTTTTTTTCTGTTTAGTGGATGATTTTTTTCAAATTTGCAAAATAAGTAATTAGTTCTAGTTAGCATATCATACTGTTTTTAATCATTTTACTTAAAAATGAACATAAACTCACTACTTCATCCATTTATTTTCCTTTGGCTAAGTCCCTTTATTCATCGGGGTCACCACAGCAGAATGAACCGCCAACTTGTTTAGCATCTGTTCTACACAGCGCATGCCTTTCCAGCTGCAACCCAGTACTGGCAAACATCCATTCACACTCAGACACCTGAACCTCATGTCTTTGAACTGTGGCAGAAACCGGAGCACCCGGAGAAAACCCACATGATGCCAACTGACCCAGCCGGGTCTCGAACCAGCAACCTTCTTGCTGTGAGGTGACTGTGCTACCAACTGCGCCACTGTGTCACCCGTCTTTCAAGCACCTGATAAACAAACTAAGTTTTCGATCGTCACATCACGCATGCATAAATTATTTAAATATCAACATTCCTGTTCAACACAAAAATGTTTGTCCAGAAAAGTCAGTTAAACATGTAGATATAACATATTAGTGAATATTGTTGACATAACATATATTTTTATGTAATTAGTTCGTATTCGCAATTTTTAGTATATATGACAGAAAAAGTACAGTGTGCTGAACAAATGGTGATTTTGTTTTTTACAGTGCAGTAGCACTGAATATGCACTCACACATAAAATGGTAAGGTTTATAATCTAATAAATACATATTAAACCTCTTTAACGTTATTAAATGGACATGCTGAATCACTCATATGTGTTGGTTTGCATTATTTCACAGTTCTAAAGTTAATTTTCAAACAGTTTATTTGATTTCCAAGATCTGAGGTGAACTATCTGCTGCTGCTTTCAGTAGTATGGCAATAAATTCAATGTAAAATGGCATTTAACCTCACATTAGTAGCATTTGACACTGAATAAAGCACATGAGGTGTACCTGAGGTAAACAACTCTGTCAGTTTATCCTGTTGTTCAGCTGCAAGAAATAGAAGCTGTTTCTAATACAAATCGAGGTGTTGGTTAGAACAAAAACTCCTTTTAAAATGGAAAATATTCCTTCTATTGCGTGTTGCTTTTATTTAGAACATGATTTGAATCAGTCTTTAGGCTCAATAGTTAGACTCGCTCCAGCTGGTCAATCTGGAAACCTGCGCTAGTGTGTTATGATCCAGAAATGTAATACCTAGTTCAACCACTGGGTGTCAAACTTACATACTGCACCTTTAACCTCCACAAATATAGCAATATTACAGAAATGTAAAAAAAAAAATTGCTGTACTGTAGGGAATACAAAGAGAAAATAATCTAAAGGAACAAAGCTACTGAATCTCAAAAGAGCTTCACTACAGATTGCCTTGTGATGCTAATCTTACTGTATGTTCCAATACCAAGTGTAATGTTATTTTCATAATGGATTAAAATAAAGCACAAAGCCAAATATACTCTGGTTTTTAACTACAGATATTAATTATTTGTAGCACAATCTTATTATTTTAAGTGATTTATTTTCAGTGATTTTGAGTGGAAGTACTTCAAACAAGAAGTGTAATCATTTTTAAGTAGGTGGCTAATATAAATGTATTACAATGTAGTCAGTGTTGGACATCTCTTTTAATGTAAGTGTCTTGGCTTTTTCAACTTCACACATTGCATCAGATATTACACGAAATCCCTTCAGACATTTTTAGTAGAATAAGATGTACCAAATAGCTAAGCTCAGTTTTGATGTCAGATGTCTCTGAATTGCATCATACAGTTTGCTTTTCTGATTTAGAAGTGGATCTTTTCAAATGTCTGAATATAAGGGAGCATATCATTCCTCTACATGCTCCTTATTTTATTTATATATTTGCTTTTTTTAGCTCAGCTGAACATCACCCCCGATGACCCGCGCTGGATTGGTGCATGGTGGGGCGGATTCCTCATCTGCGGTGCCTTACTCTTCTTCTCGGCCCTCTTCATGTTTGGTTTCCCTCAATCCCTGCCCAGCAAGGAGATGGAAGGAGTGCCTGAAAGTGAACAGGCCATGCTGCCCGCGTCTTTATCACAGGATTTTGAGAAATCCAAGCCCAGCAATGGAGTCGTGCAGAACTACCAGCCCAACAGCAACAGTCTGTCCTGCTGCCAGCAGCTCAGAGGTCTCAGTTCCAATAGCTCTACACACACACGCACTTACAAAACTGCTAAACACTTCCATTCCACACAGTCTAAGACCTCCAATGTCACTGTGTGATGTCTCGTATTGAGATTAGTCTGCTTAAGGTCAATGAGTATAGTTGCATTTAAAGGGATAGTACACCCCCCAAAAAATGCACTCACTATTTATGGAGTTCCACTCCTTTATGAGTTTAAAGCATGAAATATGATTGAAAAAAAATTAAATAAGCTGGAAATCTGTAACAAATGACTTCCATAATAGGAAAAATCAAATACTGTGGAAGTAAACGGTTGCAGGTTTCTGGTTTTCTTCAAAATATCTTCTTTTGTTTTTATCAGAAAAAAGAAAATCCTAAAAGTTTTGAACAAGGTTGACTAAATGACGAAGGGATTTATATTTTTGGGTGAATATGCCTTTAAAGAATTTGAAGAAATGTTAGTCACAAAAACATGATGTGGGTCTTTTTTTATTAGCATGCGTACGTAAATTGAAGGCTTGATCTGTTTAAATCTGTTTAAACTGTACCGGACATGTTCCTCTAATCGCATGCCGAATTATACTTAATGATACACTGAGGAGACAATTAGACAATTAGATTTAAGTCTTACTCAGTAGCAGACTTACATGGAATCTACAGCCTGAAGAGTTTGTTGAAAGCTTAGCAGATTTTCTCTGAATTTTAGTGCTCGTCATTTACAGAGTTCTACACATCCCAGTGTACTCATGTTGCAGTTTTGTTTGTTAACTAAGTCAGAGTCAGGGTTATTATGTTAGCTTATAAAAATGCCAATAAAAGTAATATTACCTGGTACAACTTTTCAATTGTATGTTTATAAAATAGACTGGTGGTCTATGAATTGCATCATACAGTTTGCTTTGCTAATTTAGAGGTGGATATGTGTTAGAGTTACCATTCATTTTAGAAAGGAATGAGTTAAAATTTATCATTCCTTTGACAACGAGTTCCCTCAAGATTTTCCTGTTATAATAAAGGTTTTCAAGTAATAAGTAAAATAAGCTCTGTGAAAAACATAACTGAATTATAACATAGCATGATTCTTCATAATCCTATTTTTCCACTATTTAGAATTTTTGAAAAAAGCTTTTTTCAAACTTCTGCCCTGCCATTTTTTCATAATGGTCATGTTCAATAATGCACAAATGAATTTGAAAAGGAGCTCATCAGTGTAGATGTGTGTTTTGGTAAAAATGTCCTGAGTTTATGTCCACAGTTCCAGCACAGTATCGAATCCTAGTGGTACAAAATGAAAGAACTTTAAATATTTTCACTTGCATTTAAAATTTTATTTAAAAAGCTACATTTAAAAAAATCTAAGATATGGCTGATATTTGGTTATGATGGATAAGTTGGCGGTTCATTCCACTGTGGTGACCCCAGATGAATAAAGGGACTAAGGATAATGAATGAATGAATGAATGAATGAATGAATGAATGAATGAATGTATGAATTAATTAATTCATTCATTCATTCATTCATTCATTCATTCATTAATTGATGAAATTCAAAAAATGCAGATGCAGTGATATTATGCAGCTTCTAAAAACAATCCCCATTTAGGTTACTGCTTTGTGTAATGTTATTGTGCCTAGTGCAGCCAAGGTAGAGCAGCAAAGCTCATTTGAAAGAAAACTTTTCATTTTCTGTCAGTCTTAGTACACGATATGACTACAGAAGAATGCAGCTTTAAATAGGAAAAGTTTTATTCGAGCGAGATGCTAATAATCTAACCTGATTCAAGGATTTATGTTAAGCTAAGCTAAAAGTGCTACTTCCAGACTCGAAGATTTTCTGAATCATAAAAGAAATTGTACAACTCAACCATTTAATGTTAGGAGAGTTGCAAAATGATGCCTCATTCACACTAGCAGCGACTTAGTAGCCGGCTGTTGCTCTGAGTGGCGAACTGCTGCAAACGCTGGTCTGTTTAGGTCTACAGCACAGAGAATACAACCGGTCTCTGAGTGAGCAGAGAGAGGATCACGTAAGCTCTACTGGTGCTCCTACTGGCTGTCGCTCAAGATAGTCTCTTCATTTGCAAAAATTTGAAGGCTTCTCAATAGTCTGAGGCTGTTTCTCAATTCCAAGAAAACAGAGAACAGACTTGCGTTCTTGTGGAAAATAGTCTTGCCAAGTTACCTCGGAAGAATGAACTCGGGACACTACCAGACCAGAGAACGCGTCCAGTGAGAAATGAGATCCTGTGTTCTTCCTAATGGTCACATGACCCTTCCAGCGTTTAAATGGAAAATTATTTAAACATTACAGCATTCATACAGCGATTTATTCTTTTCAATATATACTCTGCATAAAAACATTTTAAATAATTGCACAATATAAATAAAACAGATTTTAATACAAATTTCAGAAAACAAACATCCTTAATGTGTTTATTCCTTTATTAAGATGTCCATAAAATGTTTATATTAATCGTTTCATTTAAGGAAACTCCTGAGATAAATAAGTGATATCTCTGAACTTTAATAATAAATCTAAATAAAATGCTGCGCTTTCCACCTCCAGTTGCTGAGACTTCCAGAGTGAGATCGGTGCTCAAGTCTGCATCTGCATCGGTGCGTCATCGATATCAAGAACACAACTGGGAAGTTTCACAGATCCTCAGTTCTTGCTGTCTTGAGTATTGGAACTGAACTTTGGCATTTTTGATGATGACGTTACACGAGAACACGAAGATTGCTTAAGAACCCATATTGAGAAACAGCCTGAATGAAGCCACCTTTCCACTGCACGTGACAAAAAACAAACCACAGACTGGAAGTTATTCATTTCCAATGGAGAATAGTCCGGGAGCTGCATGGAGTTCTGATCATCTCTGTATATGGAAAATTAAATTCCGATTTGAGCTGCGAATACATTGAAATATTTGAACTCCTGCGACTAGACTGGGACTGGCCGACCGGATGTGATCTATTTCAGTGTTGTCCAAGCAGGTCCGTGCGTGCGAAATGAGAAATAGTTTTTTTTTTTTCATTATTTTTTTAATCAGAAAAAAGTAGATAAAAATATATATATATTTATAAATGAGCATTAAAATTAAATGTTTTGTGTTGTCTCCATGTTCGCTACAAAATTTTTAGCGGTCTATGAGTTTCAAGTATTGCATTCATTCAACCATGGTGAAGGCACGAGTAAAGAATAAAGGCTCTGCTTTTGCACTCCTATATTTCAAACACTGCGAGAACAGCTTCTCTCCCATGTTGCATGACAAAACTTGCGTACAACAGCACCTAAAAAGACAAACCAATACATTTAGTAATGACATTTAAGTCATTATGACTGCAGTGATCCTAAAATGCATTTCATTACTCACTGTTGATCCCTCACTGTTCATTCTGCCTCCATTGTGCTTGGTGTCCTATTGCTGCTCACAGTAACATTTTGATTATGCTTTCACTGGATAGAAGTGTACGACTCTCACCTTATGCTACTTGTTAAAAAGCAACTCTGCTGGAGATATCAAGGATTTGTTTATGAACATTATCTTGTGATATGTAGACTAAAACAAAAAGTGCTTTGAATTATTCCGTGCTGTAAAACCAAGGATATAAATCAAAACCATTTTACATACATTTTCAAAAAATATTTAAGTCACAGAATTGTAGAAATATGCCACAAAATGCATTAGTTTGTATCTGCATTTTGTTATTATAGTTTTAAACATGATTTCAGCCAAAACTAAAAAAAAAAAGAAGTGAAGCTTTCAGCCCAAACACTTGCAGGATAACTGTCACTCTATAGTTTCACATACCAGCCATTTCGTTTCTCGTCTGTTTGTCTGTAAATAGAGTAATTGTTATGCTGGTATTGTGCTATACTTGTAAGCCTTTCATTTTGTACAAAAGGAACCATCAATCATGTAAGATCTGATTATATACTTGCTATCGTGATGCATTACTAGCACAGAAGCCACTAGCTAAAGGCACACTTTAATGCAGGCAGCTGTTTTGTCCTTCTTGGTTGATGCATTTTTGGAGGTTTTGCCATCTGGTGTGAATGCAGTCTCGGTCCTGACGTTTCCGAAACATCTGTCAAAAATATCAGTTAAAATGACAACTCTTCTGAATGGCTCTGCAGCACTTTAGAAAAGAAACAGGAAATTAAAGGGTGAATGTCTGTCGATTGCATCATAAATCATATGTTTCTAGGTCATTGGCATCTTAACTTTTACTGAATGGCGTAGACTGAACTATATGCTCTCATTACTCACTGAAGCCTGTCTTTCTCTCGTCCATCCTCACTGTCTCTTCACTGCTCGTCTGTCTTTTTCTTTTCACTCCAGTTATTCCCAAGGTGACCAAGCACCTGCTGTCAAACCCAGTGTTCACTTGCATCGTCTTGGCCGCCTGTATGGAGATTGCGGTTGTTGCTGGCTTTGCTGCTTTCCTGGGCAAATACCTGGAGCAGCAGTTCAACCTCACCACCTCTTCTGCTAACCAGCTGCTGGGTGTGTAGAAATAAATGCATACTGTCTGTACATTCACACAAGTACACGTTTTATTTTATTTTATTACAAAATTAATATATTTAACCAATTTAATCTTATATTTATTTTCTGTTTCCACCTTTTTTCAGATTTTTTGGAGAAAATATATTGCGTTTGAATTATGTAATACGGTTGAAGTCAGACTTATTAGCCCCCCTGTTTATTTTTTTCCCCAATTTCTGTTTAACGAAGAGAAGATTTCTTCAACACATTTCTAAACATAATACTTTTAATAACTCATTTCTCATATAACTGATTTATTTTATCTTTGCCATGATGACAGTAAATATTATTTTACAAGATATTTTTTAAGACACTTACTATACAGCTTAAAGTGACATTTAAAGACTTAACAAGGTTAATTGGGTTAATAGGTTAGGGCAGAGGTCACCAACCTTTTTGAAACTGAGAGCTACTTCTTGGGTACTTATTAATGTGAAGGTCTACCAGTTTTATACACACTTCTCAAATAACAAATTTGCTTAATTTACTTTTAATTATATATTATTAATAATAATTATTGATATTTTTCCCAGAGATAAGTTGCAGCTGGAAGGGCATCTGCTGCGTAAAATATTCCATTCATTCCACTGTGGAGACCCCAAATTAATAAAGGGACTAAGCCGAAAAGAAAATGAATGAAAAAATAATTTAAAGATATTCATCTATGTGGCAGTTCATTCCGCTGTGGCGACTCCCAAATAGCCAAAAAGAAAATGAATAAATATTTATCTATGTAAAGAGACACTGAACGTGAATGATTTCTCACAATAGTTGTCAACAATGATTTAACAAGTAAGGAAACATGAGTATGCAACAATTTATTTCTATAAATCTCTGCAAGTATGTACATTTTCAAATGTTAAACATAAATTAGGAAATATTTAAAAAAGAAAAAACTATTCAGGGGGCTAATAATTCTGACTTCAACTGTATATTTATATTTTAAGACACATTTTTGTATAGATTGTTTATGCATATTTCTATTTAATTTTTTTATTTATTTATTGAGATCTTTTTTCATAGTTTTTTTTTTAAATACAGCTCAAAAAAAACTTACAATTAAAATGTTTTTATTATTAAAAACTGCTTTTATTCTAGCTCAAATAAAACTTTCTCTAGAAGCAAAAACATATTTTCTTGCTCTATTAAACATCATTTGAGAAATATTTAAAAATGAAAAAAATAATTCTGACTTCAATTGCTATATATATACAGTATATATATATATATATATATACATATATATATATATATATATATATATATATATATATATATATATATATATATCTGCTATCCAATAATTTGACATTTGTTTTAAAAGTGTAAAAACTACAAGCTAAAAGAGATAAAAGACTTTCTCCAGAGGAAAAAATACATTAAATAATGTCAAAACAATTATATTTTCATCGCATATTGTTGGCAAAAACAAATGTATATAAACTCTTTCCCCATATGTATTAGATTTTTAAAATATCTATTATTAGCAATTTCTCTGCTGTTTTAGTTTTAAAAATCAAAACCAAACTAAAATTCAAAATTTTTACCAGGGCAGGGGAAAAAAATATGTAAAAAAAATAACATAAAATTACAAAAAATAAAATTATAAAATTAGCCCCTTTCACACAGTAATATTGGTAAATATGCGGAAAATTACTGGAACGACTTTACCAGTAGATTCAAACATGTGCTCTTCGCACAGGCCACGCTTTACACCTCCATTTCAAAATGCCGGTAAATTCTGATATCATTAACCAAAAATAAGCTCTAAACAGCCACGCTTGTATTAAACATGAAGGGCGTCAGTCTTTTTCTTGATGATTTTACTTTTATTTAAAACTTTAGCATTCATGTAGATGTTTTTGTCCTAGAAATGGACCAAATAACTGGGAAAATTCTTCCAACTTTAACATTTGAGGTGCTAACCGCAGCTTAAATCACCTTTGTTTACACATTTGACAACAATGTTACATATTCTGATGGATACTGTGAGCAACAAAGTTATAGAGGAACACTTTCGCATATCGAGATGTACATTTGAGTTTGTGCTGCAGCTTTTGAGATGCTTTTTAAAACAAAAGACTACCGATGTTGTAGGCTTCTGAAATCTGACTCACAGGAGCGCTCCTTCACGTGCATGTGCCTCACGCAGAGTTGGCAGGTAAACTCACAGCGGTTTATCATTTTATTGATCATTTTTTCCTTAACTTTTTTTCTAATGAGCAGCAGCTAAATGTGTCTGGAGAAGGATTTAAAGCCATTTATGTTATTAAACAGTGCAGTTGTGAATTTGTCTGGAGTACACGTGTCATGTCAGCACATTTTAAACGTGAATACACTCTTTCGGGCAGTTTTCCTTCAGTTTACACACAGAGCAGCCTTTCGGCAATTTACCGGTAGTGTTACAACTTCTCTTTTCGGGACAATTGCAGAAACTAATTTACCGGTACTTTCAAAAAGGGGTCTGTTCACACATGATCCCTTTCTGTTTTTTTTTTTGTTTTGTTTTTTTTTTTTTCAGAAAAGTCTGTATGTGTGAAAGGGGCTATTAGCAACAAAAAAATATTTTTAAAAATGTGTTTTTACATATACTTATAAAATATGTATTAGCAATAAATTAAATTAAATTAGGAAACAATAATAAATCAGCAAAAAAATTGCTTATTGTTTTCTAATTAAATTAAATACAAATAATTAAATTAAATGAAATTAAAGAACAATTTGTGGTTATATAAATGTTGACTTCTCAATTTTTTCTTAATCCTTTAACACATTAATCCATGGCACATCCACAGTAGACCTGAAATAACCCCAATTTTAAGTTGTAATTGCAAAAATTATGATTTATATTTAAGCAAAATGACTTCCAAATCTGTAATTTTGGATAAAAAGCAGTTCATCAACATCAGACGTTCTGCAACACAAAAGAACAGCAAAAAGAATAAGGGTATAAATATATCTGACATAAACACAATGTTCTGCCAATTTTCTCTCTGTAACCAGGCATGACGGCGATCCCATGTGCCTGTCTGGGCATATTTCTGGGAGGTTTGCTGGTGAAGAAGCTGAATCTGTCTGCTCTGGGAGCCATTCGGATGGCCATGCTGGTCAATCTGATCTCCACCGCCTGCTACGTGTCTTTCCTCTTCCTGGGCTGTGACACGGGTCCTGTCGCCGGGGTGACCGTCGCCTATGGCAACGAGTACGGACGGCTTTCTCCTCTCAGTCTCCTTATTTTCTGTGCCATTTATACGGTACAGGGATGACAAGTCTACATATTGAAACCGATATTTTTACTTGGATAATATGGATGAGTCAGCTTCAGCTCTTCAGAGATTGCTCTTATTGAGAATTTAAGGGGAGGGGGATAGAATGGTTCAGTAATACATGCAGGTTTATTTTTCAGGCCCATGTGAAACATGCTTCTAAAATCTCAGTGTTCATAGCTGGCCAAAATGTGTGTATTTTGAGGCACTGAATCACTTAAAAGAAGAAATTCAGGATTTAAATAATTCCTATTATCCTTAAATAAAATATACGTGTTTACAAAATTACAAAACATAAAGATACTTTACATAAAATACATTGTTTTATTGTTATTTTTCACAAAAAAAAATTGTTGCTGATTTTTACTATGTTTTTAATGAAAATGTATTAATGAATTCTAAATTATTTTCTTCTAATTTTAATGCAAATTTATTTAATATGTTTAATTATTGAGATAAATTCATTTCCTTTTTCTAATCTAAAACAACTCTTATTTATATTATATAATTGTTTTTTATACAAATTAATCATACAAATAAAATTACTTAATTTCTAATTAAATTAATAATTATATAAAAAAATGGCAGGTAAATTTAAACATGCCTGTTATTCTCTTGCACTTTAATATTTTTGTAAATTCAATTTTACTTCAAATTATTAGTCTATCATCATTTTTATTATAATCTATACTGAATTTAATCAGTTTTGTTTGAATACTTTTTAAAATAATGTACAGTGGGTACGGAAAGTATTCAGACCCTCGTTGATTTTTCACTTGTTGTTATATTGCAGCCATTTGCTAAAATCATTAACGTTATTTTTTTCATCATTAATGTACACACAGCACATCATATTGACAGAAAGACACAGAATTGTTGACATTCTGGCAGACTGATTTAAAAAAACAAAACTGAAATATCACATTGTCCTTAGTATTCAGACCTTTTGCTCAGTATTTAGTAGATGCACTCTTTTGATCTAATACCGTTTGAGTCTTTTTGGGAAGATGCAACAAGTTTTTCACACCTGGATTTGGGGATCCTCTGCCATTCCTCCTTGCAGATCTTTTCCAGTTCTGTAGTTTGGATGGTAAACCTTGGTGGACAGCCATTTTTACAATTATATCTGCGAAAATGTCAACAATTCTGTGTTTTTCTGTCAGTATGGTGTGCAGTGTGTACATTAATGAGGGAAAAATTAACATAAATGATTTTAGCAAATGGCTGAAAAACACAGAATTGTTGACATTTTCGCAGATTGATAAAAAAAATAAAATATCACATGGTCCTAAGCATTCAGACCCTTTGCTCAGTATTTAGTTGAAGCACCCTTTTGATATAATACAGCTTGAGTCTTTTTGGGATGCAACAAGTGTTTCACACCTGGATTTGGGGATCCTCTGCCATTCATCCTTGCAGATCCTCTTCAGTTCTGTCAGGTTGGATGGTAAGCGTTGGTGGACAGCTATTATTATGTCTGAATACCTAGGACCATGTGATATTTCGATTTTTCCTTTTTAATAAATCCAAAAATGTCAACAATTCTGTGCCAATATGGGGTGCTGTGTGTAACGAGGGGAAAAATTAACTGTAATGATTTTAGCAAATGGCTGCAACATAACAAAGAGTGAAAAATTTGAATTCTTTCTATACCCACTGTAATATAACTTATTTGAATCTAAATTATCAGTAGAGCATGTGTTTGTTAAAAAAAACAGTTGTTTATTAGATTTACTTTTTACACTTACATTTTGTCAGTATCAGATTTAGTATCAAAAATAGTATGTTATTATTATCTTTATTAACTCATTTTACTTTTAAAAAGTCACATTATTATCATCCGGTATATATTTATTATTTTGAAAACATTTTAAAACTATTATAAGGAAGAAATATGATTTGTTTTCTAATATAACTATGTTTTGTTTGTTTGTTTTTAGCAAATTAGATTTTAAATCACGTGTTTCCTTTACTTTTAAAGAAAAGCAGAGAAAATAAATAAATTAAATAAATGAATTAAATTCAGATTTTCAATAACTTCTTATCATCAGCAGCAGCCATTTTTAAAACTGTTCTTTAAACAAGCCTGATGATCTGAACAAACTACATGCCCCCTTCTTGCTCAGTCAGTCCACAGATGTTTAGTTCATTCAGTTTGTTCACGAACAACATGTCCCAGTTCATTCAGTTCACTCACGAACAGGATGTCAGTGCCGCTCCAGTTTGTTCAGGCCCGAAACACAGACTCATTCACTATTTGTTTCTGCTTAGAAAATCACGCTTAAACCCCAGAATAAGAAGGAAGTCAAGCAACCGCTGAAAATACTGTACATCAATTAAATTAAGTACTGTAAATCCTGATGAACTCACTCACACTAAATAGATCAGAGAAACAGGTGAATGTGTGTTTGTGTATATAGGCCACTGTAAGTAGGCCAGAAACCAGAAGCCCCCTTTTACAAAATTACCTAGCGATTATAAGAATCGAAACAAGTCTTATTTTCTGTGCCATTTATACAATCCTTACTGAAGGGATACAGGGAAGACAGGACTACATGCTACTTTTACTTTGTATCTTCAAAATCTTCAAAAGTACCTTTGTAAGGTACTTTTACCTTATTTTTTACGCACGAGCGGGTGCAGCCATTTGAATCTTTTTAGTTCAAGACTTCCAGTCATTCACTTCCATTTATTTTTTAGATGTTAAAACAGCTCTTTCTCCTGCTTGATGTTGCTAACTGATATTTTCTTATTATATTATTCTATTTTGTCTGTATAGTCATGCAAATACTTGTTTGTACAGCAAGTAGTTTGACCGTTTTCTGGCGTTATTATTATTTCTAAGTCATTTCTCCCATAGGCAACTGAATCAGAAGTTCTAAAATAATCAAAAACACAAGCGCACTTCCGCATTGAAGAATAAGGTCAATATGGATGAGTCAGAATCAGATTGATGAATCAAGTGTTTTAAATCTGTTCATGGAAAAGATCTGTTGACTTTGTTTGTGTTGTTTGTATCATTAGACCAGTAGGTGGCGACAGATTGGTGTGTTGAGTTATTAAATCACACTGATTACCGAAAACAAGAAATTCATGATGGAAACAAGGGCTGGGCAATATGACAGAAATCTCATATCCCAATATAAGCCATCTCATAAGCTGATGACATACAGTGTATCTCGATATATAGTACCGTTTCTGTAAAAATCAATCAATTTATGGTGTATATCTTAGCCACGTGTGACAGACCATTTCTTTTTTTTACATTTTAAGATATACATACATGTAATAAACGTACTTTAAGGCAATTGTTAGCTCAAAAATGTAGAAATATTAAATAAATATTAATCAAACATAAAACTTTTAATTACACAACTAATTACAGGTCCAACATATCAAATATTATCAATAAATAAAATGCAAAGTTTAAACATTTTAATTAAAGGGATATCTCTAAAAATTAAATGAAAATTTCCTGTTAATTTACTCACCCTCAGGTTATCTAAGGTGTACTTGACCTTTATTTCTTCCGTGAAAGAAAATGAATCGTACATTTAAATGTTTTAGTGAATTATCTCTTTTAACAAAATCTCTACATGTAATCTCTAATCAAAGTCAAGCAATTCTATCTGGACCTGATAATACATAACTTACAGAATCAGTGGTTCTCAGTAGCAGTCCTCGTGCCCCACTGCTCTGCATATTTTGCTTACGTATATTTAACGCACGTTATTCAAATAACAGGGTCCCTACACTTCCTGAACACAGGAAATTTTTACTTTACTTGGTAATGTTCATTCATAGAACAATTAAAGACGTGATGTGTGACATAATATCCCTCTCTAAATAAATGCAATTTACAATATCAGACACAAAAGCGCCATTTGAATTACTGAATGCCTCCCCTCGAACTTAAAGCATAGTGGAATATACTGTGGACCACATGGCAGCACTTAAAGCCCCAGTATACTTCAAACAAAGTTCTTTTTCACTCTTCATTTAAGGACAAGAAGAAGTTTAAAAGGGCTGAGTGAATGAGGTATACTGTTTTGGAAACGTCCGACACCCCTCTGTATGTCCCCAAAGAGTCTGCTTTGTGAGCTGTTACAAAATGGGCAGAGTGGTGGAGCGCGGGGAATCAAATTGAGAAACATTAAGCTAAATAAACACTGCACAATTTGTTAAAAATGATTTTATGCACATTTTGTCAGTAAAGCCGGTTCTGTTATTAGTAGTAAATCTCTATTATGTGCTTTTTGATGAGACAGCATTTACTACACAGAGTCATAGTACACTGATAAGCTATGACAAATCATGGCCATAATCGCAGAAGTTTTAGCTGGCCGATTATGAAATTGAAGATAATCTTTCTTTGATAATGATAGCTGTTTGTATCGCTTCTCAGAGAACCACAGCTCTGTGTTGCTGCTGCATTTAAAAGCATAACTTTTGTTGAGTGTTAAGGCACATTGAATCAACGAAAGTAGTTAAATCTTGTGTTTATTATACAACTGATATAGGGATTTCCTGAATTTCTTCTTCATGGGTATTTGAAGAATCCGCTCCAGAGCGCCCCCTCTGGCTCTCTGGGGACATTTACTTCTGATCATAGAAGCCTCCTTTGATTAATCAAGATTGCGATTTTATTTCAATTTATCATGCAGCCCTACACCAATTGAACATTTCTGTATAACTTGATAAACTCTAAGTATATCAACAAAACCTTAACAGGTGAATGTGTGTTTGTGTGTAAATAGGACACTGCAAGTAGGCCAGACACCGGAAGCCCCCTGCATGAGTCATTGTAACTGCTACACTTCATCCGTCAGCCCGGTTTGTGGCTCCAACGGTGTGACCTACTTGTCCTCATGTTTCGCCGGCTGCACCAGAGCCATCAGTACCGGACTACCAGCTCCGCTCTCTCAGGTCATTACCCATATCATTTACACAACAGCGTTCGTCTCCTTCTCTTTGCTTCATTTCTGAGCCCTGTCATAGTCTCTCCGTATGTCTGTTTCTTTGACTGTGCGCTCATTTCCTGGACAGCACATGTCCGGCGTGGGTCATTAGGAGTGAAGCCCACACGGCTCATCAGATATACAGTATGTCGGAAAGGACACGACGCTCTGCCTGCCAGGCATCTTAATGGGCAGTGCATTATGGGGCCTCTGCGCTCATTACCATACAAAGCGAATGGTTCAGACTGGAATAGATGAATCCAAGACAACAGTCCACTAGCATTATCGTAATTGAGCGCTAGCGCACGATGTGAATATACCAACTGGTGGGTTTAATGAGGCTTTTCGCACCAGGGTTCTCGGGTGCATCAGTTCTCTGTAGATAAAATTGACTATACCACGAATAGATGGCTAATAATGAGTCGTTTACTTTACACCAATTCACTATAAGCTCATTTAACATTTACTTTTTTATTTTTTTAATCAGTGGCATTTATAATTCCTGTTTACACTTACGTAGTGTTAAAATGTGTTTTGGTTAATCCAATCACACACTGTGTATGCCTGGAGTTTTGATCTGTCTATTTTGTACACTTTTATTGATTTATTTAAGGGGAGAGTCTTGTATTGGCATTTTCTGATCTTTTAATCTAAAATTGCGATATGAAATTGTGTAATTTGAATATATGAATGTAACAGGAGAAAATGGAAAGTAATACAGAGAGCACTAGTTTTCGATTCTGCTCTCTTAGCCGCAAGATGTTGGTGTGGGTTTGTGGTTAAAAAAGGACTATTGAAAGAACATCGCACACTGCTAAATCGAAACTTATGACTTGATGATGGCAAACTTTAAAATGGCATTTTCACACAATTTTTGATAGTTTGTTTTGTTCTGATATAGTTATTACACTGCTGCAATTTCTTCTCTTTGGGGTTATTAAATATCTAGTTGTCCGGTCATCATGTTTACATTGGTTACATTAAGCACTGCTATTTCTTGTGCAGTATATGTGATAACCTATAATACCAATCCAATTGTTTCTGGCTCTGAAAGTGTTTGAATGGGGACAAGCTCTAAACATTTCCGACAGTGTTTACACTTGTAATTTTTATTGAATCAAGCAGTTTGAAAGGTTTGTTTGACCAAAAAATAAAAAAAAATCTTGTCATTCCATATTCATTTGATTTTTATTCAACTTCATAACAGAAATTAAAAATAGTATCATTTTATAGATTTCTTCCTTTGAAGGATTATTCACCCGAAATGCATAATGTATTTAAACATGCTCATAAAGGGATAGAATAAATACATCTACGTAAGTGAGTCATTTAATCTCAATCTATTAAGTTAAATTTAGGCTTTTGTAAACATTAAACATTGATCAATGAAAAAAAATTCTGAATTTAGAATTGAACCTTAAAGAACAAGAAAGTGTGCTTAATGTGAAAACCAATGAGGTTCTTTTTTTTTAAATGCTGCATATTTGAGCTGCAAATGTGCAGTGTTCACATGTTTACTCTTTAATGTTTACAGGTTAAAAAAAATATCCAAAATTAATATGCTCTCATATATTGATCATATCGCTTTAAAAGTCTTGGATTTAACCATTTGATTCAATTGGAATGAATCTTACATCTCTTTATGGAGATTTTGGTAATCAGAGTTTTAATGAAGGAACAGAAATCTTTTAAATCTGACTAAAAATATGTTTATTTGTATCTCTAAATGATGAAAACAATGTTTTTTTTATGGTGAGCTAATCCTGTTTCCTGGTTGTTATTGTGCTTATGTGTTTTTACACTTTCAGAACCTGTCAGGATGTGCATGTATTTCCGGATACAATGACTTTGCCACAGCTGTGCCAGGCAAGTGCCCGCGGCCAGGCTGCCAGGAGGCCTTTCTCACCTTCCTGTGTGTGATCTGTGGCTGCAGTATGATCGGGGCAATGGCCCAAACCCCATCTGTCATCATACTCATCAGGTGACTTACTCCACATACAATTCAAGAGTGAATACCCAGCAGGCACACAACGTCATAAGACATTAATATTAGGTTAGATTCAGATTGAAATAGCCAAAAATTCAAAATGTCTAGTCTGCTTCTAAAAACAATGTTATTTTGACATCCAATAACGACATCAAATGACGTTGATATTTGGTTGTGTTGGAAAGTGACCAAAATCCAATATCGAGCAAACATTTTAAACCAACGTCATATTGATGTCAAATACTGACATTTATTTGTCAGGTCTGGCAACCAAAATGCAACACTAGATAGACGTCATAGTGGTAAAGTTCAAACACAATTTCAAGTTGTAACATCATTAAACATTGATATTTGGTTGATATCAGGTTGGACAATGTTCAACTCGATTTTCATTTCCAAACAAAATACAACATCCCCAAGACATTGGGGTACAGTATCAATCTGATGCCATGTTGATGTCCTGTGCCTGCTGGGTGGAACATTATTTACAATTACATGATATTATAATTCAGGAAACATTCTAATATGCAGATGCTCAATTAACATTACATATTATTATTGATGTTTAAATCAATATAGATGCTGCTTCATATTTTAGTGTAAACCATGATGCTTTTTCTTTGGGATTATTTCAATAATATCCTGATAAACATTTTAAAGAGCATCATTTATTTCAAATCTTCTGTGGTTATTTTAATTTTCTGTTGTCTTAATGGTTGATTTTGACCAGTGATTTGATTTGTCCTTGCAAAAAAAACTACATTTTGCAGAACGAATATAGTTCAAACCGTCTTTTCACATCTTGTTGATTCCAAAAACATGAATGCACAAAAAAGTGGAATAGAAAAAAAGTGTGTGTGTGTGTGTGTGATAAAAATATGTGTATGGAAATGGGCATATTTTTATGACTTTTCTCTTGCTCTTTTAGAACTGTCAGCCCAGAGCTGAAGTCATACGCCCTTGGAGTTCTTTTTCTGTTGCTGAGACTCTTAGGTGAGAAATCACAGCCACATTTACAGCTCAAACTACTGCTTTTTACAGTACACAGTGGAGATAATGTGTTTGCCTTGCTGAAAGTGGGTTAAGAGAAACATATTAAGGATTAGATTTTCTCACAATTCAAAGTGCAGTCAAATAAGGACATGTCGATTTGCCAACTCTATTCAGAACCCCTTCTGGTTTCCCTTTAGTAAAATTACAGCTGTTTGTCCAAAACAATTTAATGGCAAATAACTAGCTACTAATCCATATAAATTTGCTTTCCCACAATTTGGTCATGGTCCAGTGAGGTTTATGCTTCCAGACTAGCCTCCATGCTTACATTTTCCACAAAATTGTACATTTTTTAGATCACACAACATAAAAACTAGCCACTAATTGGCCAACAGTTGTTACAGTTTCCTGTGAGGTTGGGTTGATTTGTCCTGATTAAAAGGTCTGATATATATATGAGCAATATCACACTCGTACAGTGCAATGTGGCTATATATCGGCACGAGTGGGAGGCGTGCATTGGCACAAGACTACAGGCCAACGATATGCAGCCACATTGCACTGCTACGAGTGTGAAATTGCATTTATAACAGTTTAACAGCATAATCGTGTATAAAAAAAAAGAAAATCAAACACGGAGAGTCTAAAAACCCTTTTGTGTGAGGATCTACTTTCTTCTGCCATTCATTGACATCTGCAGCTGACATCAGAACAGCAAAAATCGTTGCTACTTCACCAACATCATTTAAGTATATATTTGAATGATTCTCTAGCGTAATATCTAAAGTGATGAAAAAACAGGTGATTTTGCTCACATTTTAAAATTATAAGGCTGAAAAGCATGAAATGCCATCAGTCTAGAGAGATTTAGATAAGGAGAAGAAAAGGAAAAATGCTAAACACATGCGTTTCATCTTGCTTTCTGTTTACTGAACTATTCTACAGTGGCGAAAACAGGAGACTCATTAGAAACAGAGTGGCCAACACAAAATACATACTTTCCTAATATTTGAGTCTCATCTCACACTCAAAACACTACTATTACTGTGGTATAAATACAGCACTACAACATACAAAAGAGAGAGATCGACTTAGAAAGTTGTCTAGCAGATTTATAATGATTTGATCAGCTGTAGGTTAAAATTACGCTGGGTGTTTTCTCTTCTAAAGGCTTATTGTGCGATCTCTGTCGCCATCTTGTGGATTGAAATGTCAGTTGTCTTTGGTCTGCTCAATGACTGGCAAATGGCCACCAACGCGCTGTCTTTCAGAAATAATAAATATTTAAAATAGGCACTATCCTTATAAATAAACTGCATAGTTTCAATCTAAACAACTATGTTCTTGACAAAAAAAAAGCCATTAAAGTACATTATGTTGTCCAACAGTAGCAATATTCATCAAACTTCAGAGTGTCCTCTTCTTGTTAATGTATGTGGGTGGAGTAATACACAAGTGTGAAGGGTGAGGAGGCTGGATGAGTGCTGTTATTTGTAGAATATCGCATGGCTATCAGCAGTTAGAACCAGACAGAACTGTTGTATAAATTTAACTAAATATATTCTAATTTATTCTATTGTAAATAATATTATATATGTTAATCTGTGTTGTATTATAATATGCTAATATAAATATTTTACATTTATACCAGTACTTCTGTAACAATAAAAATTGTTATGAAACATAAATAATGATACTGTGTGGTTTAAGATACTGAATGTGTTTTTTTTTTACATAAACATGTCTTGTGTATTATTAGCAGCAGTACAAACACTTATTGACCTGTCAAAGGTTTAAAACACTTGCAAAACAATCCTGCAGCTCAACATAATATGGCTAAACACCTCATATGTGCTGGAGCAGATGCATTTAAGTCTATTTAAACTGATCATTCTGTCATTAAAATGTATTACACATACCATTATTACAGCAGAATAAACTATCTTGCAGGGTTCATTCCCCCTCCTTTGATATTTGGTGCTGGGATCGACTCCACATGTCTTTTCTGGAGTGCCGAATGCGGGGTCAAAGGTGCCTGTCTGCTGTACGATAACGTGACCTACCGGCACCTGTACATCAGCATGGCTATCGTCCTCAAAATCATGGCGTTCCTCCTCTACACCACCACCTGGCATTGCCTGCGCAGAAACTACAAGAAATACATCAAAAACATTGAGGGCTACCTCACCCCCACTGAAGTGTTCTCGTCCAGCATGAACCTGGACAGTCTCGGAAAGGACAGCAGTCAAAGTCAAGTCAACAGGACTAAATTTATATACAACCTGGAGGATCACGAGTGGTGCGAAAACATGGAGTCCGTTTTATAGTGCGTGAGTTGAAGCATTGTTTAACTATTATTCCAGGACTGAGCTTTATTGTGAACTCGTTCAAACTCTTCTACTGGGTCCATCTTGTTTTTAGAAGTACGTTCAAAGGTGTTTCTCCAGTGCCAGTAAACTTTTGTTGTAGTAGTTAGTTAAAGGCGTCTACGTCGTTGCCTGACAACTGGATTGTTTAAATCCACATAGCTGCGCATTCGCTGACGTCAAACACAAATGCAGCCATGAAATGACTGTTTCTACAATTTTTTTTACTAAAATAACTACACAACACCATCAGTCATAGTTTGGAATAATTGTTGCCTAATTGTTATATGGCTGGTTCAGACTACACTATTGTAACAGTGGAGAATGCACAAACTATGATTGCTTGCCGCCGAACCGCGTCATAGCTCGTTATCATAAAGTTAACTGGATTTCAACTCTCCTCGACGCTCACACCCGCGAACACGCACCCTGCCGCTTATTGCATTTAAAAATGAATGACTTCTGGGTACTTTGACCCTCTTGTCGCTTTTGGTGTTAGCATACATTCACACAGAGACACTGTGATCGACTCCCTCTAGTCTAGAGATGTATCTGCACCTGTATGATCACTCATGGAGAGACTTTAAAGACTTGGAGCAGACAAGCGCCACCGCATCCCACCACATCTTTTAAAGTTCTAAACATTTTCTTCTATGACTATGCGCACACGCTACACACGCTATTTGGTGTCTGTATGTGGCAAATAGAAAACAGTATAAAGCTGTAGCGCATCATATTGGCGCTTCTCGTCACCAATATCATCGATTCTTTCCTTTCACCATGTTTGAAAGCCATTTTCGGAGCCTTCAAGATTACAGTGACAGAGCAGTTGTTTGTCCTCCACTATTACATACTATATGACATCAAATAATTGATGCTTGCATGCACATGTTTTTAAATTGCCATGATCAACTAATCACGGTCGCCATATTAAATACGGATTGTGCCAAACCATTCTGTATAGTTTGAACCCAGCATTTAATAGTCAGTTTGACCATTCATTCATTTATTTTCCTTCTGCTTAGTCCCTTTATTCATCAGCGGTCACCACAGTGGAATGAACCACCAACTTATCCAGCATATTTTTTACACAGCTGATGCTCTTCCAGCTGCAACCCAGTACTGGGAAACATCAAAACGCAATCATTTACACACACTAACATTTACACTATTCAATTCTATAGCGCATGTCTTTGGACTATGAGGGAAACCAGAGCACCCAGAGGAAACCCACAGCAACACAGGGAGAACATGCAAACTCCACACAGAAATCCCAACTGGCCCAGCTGGGACTCGAAACAGCAACCGTGAGGTGACAGTGCTAGCCACTGAACCACCGTGTAAACCCCGGTTTAGCCATCAAAGTGTTAATTCATTCATTTTTTACACCGCACTCTTCTGTGGCAGTGTATCATTGTTCATAGTTGGGAAATGAATTCACTATTTTAATGCCAAATATTGACAAAAGTGTCAATCACATCATGTGACATCCCTCAGTGCCAAAAAGGAAATGACACAAATGATTTAATTGCATTGCAAACAATTTACGCAACTCAATGTATGAACTATTAATTTTGCAATTACATTTTTCCATCCTCAGAGTCTTGATGACATCAGAGTCATTCTCAGGCTTTTCGATTTTTTTATATATTTCGATGCTTTTCTAGTTATTACCGTTTCCACAAAATATAAAGCAAAACACTTAATTTCCATACTCAATTCCATTCAAAACATGCATGTTGCAATCAGCCACTTTGAATGTTATCACTCATTATCAGTGGTTATCAGCTGATAGATATGGGCCAGTAGGGACCTTCTGTGCCTACTGGTAGGCTCAGAAGGCTTTTTTAACCTATCCACATGGTTAATCAGCTATACTAATAGAGAAGACTCCAGATCTGTTTTACTGTGACGGTTGGGTTTAGGGTAGGGGTAGGGGTAAACGTTAATGTAATACAATTAATGGGAATTTAATATAAACAATATAAATAATTCTTGTGAACTTCCAGCCACGGCTGTATGTGATCTATAGCTGATTAACAATGTGGATGGATAATAACATCCAAACCCCACACAAAAATTCCAACTCAATTAAACCAGCGACCTTCTTGCTATGAGGCAACAGTGCTACTCACTGCGCCCCTATGCCGCTTTTAATGTTAATAAAACTTATTTTTTAGGTTAATCATAATCTTAAGTACATTTTTTTAGATATACAATGTCTAATTAAAAATTTTTAACAAGTAGGCGCCGAAGGCCCCCACTAGCCCATATCTATCAGCTGATAACCACTGAGAACACCCATTTAATTGACATTTGAATCAGCTGGTTGCAATAATGCAAGACAAAACAATTCTACACAATTAAGACTTTATAAGATACATAACATAATACATGTTTCTCGAGCAACTAATCCTCACGTTAGAATGATTTTTAAAGGATCTTTTGGCACAATTAATTAATTGTTTGCCAACAAAGCAATAACTAAACTTTTAAAATAGAATATAGCTTGTAAAAATATTTGGCAGCAATACTAATTTATTTGATCATATAAATGCAGCTTTGGTGAGCCTCGTTGAAAAACATTTTAAGATTCCTATAATTATTCCAAACTTTGGACTGGAGGTGTGTATATACAACTAAAAAGATTAACTAGTTTAACTCGTCATCTGTCATACGGCTGGTTGATGCTGTTCATGTTTTCGCTCTCCATCCCTGTTGGGTTTTATTATGGAGATCATTTTAGTACATCAATACTAATATATCGTTCTATTACAAACTATACTGCAGTTTTTTTTACACACACACATATATATATTAAAAAAACTATATCAATTATTTCTTAAAACATAAATATGTTTGAGAAATCTTTCTCTTTCTAAGTGCTTTTTTTTCTGCTGTTGTTAATTTATATTGGTTATTAAGGCCTAAAATGTCTTAATTTGTAAAGACTATTGATACTGTATATGATTAGCATCTTTATACATCTGTGCAATAGTGGGAGCGTCTATTTAAAAAAGAAAAAAGCCAGAAAGGTTTTTTGTCTATAAATAATTGTTTTCTTTGTCATTAGATTTTGTTTTGGATAATTAAGACAGAGAATTTCTATGAGTAGTTTTATTAATAAACGTAAGAATGCCTCTTTATTCAGATGACAATAATGGCATGTCTAGATTTTTGGGAATATTGCGATATAACTTATGACTGACATCCGAGAAGGAGTATTAGGAAAAAGGCCATTTCATTAAATGGCAGAAGAGCATTGTCATTCATAAGCAGCTCTCTCATCTCCGTAGAGCAAATAACTTTCTGGTGGTGATCAGGCTGGCCCTTGCTATTTATGAGCTGGATGGAGAATATGACATTTTATACCGTAATGATGTTGCATATCATGTGTGTTCCGGCTATGGGTTTAGATTAAATGGTTTTATTTCACTTCACAGCAATAAGACATGGCACTGTGGGTTCTTCAGAAGTTCAGAAAGAGTGCTATAATCAAAAGACACTCCGGGATGAAAAGTGTTCGTGATGAGTTTCTGCTTTTCACGTTATCTGAATTTCTTCAAAAGCTTCATAGCACATCCTTCTTATTTTACAGCCGTCACTGCAGGTAGAAATGTGCGCAGTGTACTTTTCATATCATTTTTTATGGCAAAGTATCTTTTATTTTATTCTGCAAATAAATTATTTTTCAGAAAATGTCAGATTTGGCTCTGTGGTTCTTTGAACAAATGAATCAATGAATCATCATTTATTTTTAGTTATCTTGAGTCTAAGAAGTTATGAAAGACCAAAGTCGAAAATGTTGAGGTTGCATAGATCATTTTGAGGAAAGAAAGATAAACCATGTTTTAGCATAGTGCTACTATGGTTTTGCACAGTATTACTAGCACATTTAAACACATTACTATGCTGTTAATGTTTTTTTATAAATAACACGGTATTAAACTGTAATATAGACTGAATTTACTGTAGGAGAGTTATGCAGTACATTACTGTATTTTAAAGTTGCATTGTTTTAAGATATACAAAACTGTAGTGTAAATACATATTCAACAAGGTAAATAGTGCTGTAAATGTAATACTTTTGCTGCAATTGATTTGAAGTGTTACTAGTGAACTGTAATATGAACTGAATTTTACTGTAGGACAGTTACGAAGTGTCTGACTGTATTTTAAAGTTGAACTGTGAAAATGACTGTATATTTTACAGTAAAAATATCAAATACTGCAAACACATACACAACAAGGTAAATATTGCTGTGAATCTAAATATAGCATGTTTGCCGTAATTGATTTACAGTGTTACTGGTGAACTGTAATATGAACTGAATTTTACTTTAAGACACTTATACAGTATCTTGCTGTATTTTAAAGTTCCACTGGGAAAATTATGGTATATTTTACAGTAAAATATGCAATACTCTAGATACATAAACAGCAAGGTAAATAGTCCTGTAAATGTAGTATTGTTGCTGTAATTGATTTACAGGAAGATACTGTTAAACTGTTATATGACCTAATTTTACTGTTGGACAGTTATGCAGTATGTTACTGTATTTTAAAGTTTCAGTGTGAAAATTACTGTATATTTTACAGTTAAGTTATACAATACCGTAAATACATACACAACAAGGTAAATAGTGCTGTAAATGTAAATATGGTACTTTTACTTATTTATTTTTACTTTAACTTTTTCTTTTTGCTGTAATTAATTTTTCAGAAAGTTACTGGTGAACTGAACCGTAAAATAAACTGAATTGTACTGTAGAACAGATGTGCAGTATTTTACTGTATTTTAAAGTTGCACTGTTAAAAAAACTGTATATTTAACAGTACAAATGTGCAATACTGTAAATATATACCCAACAAGGTAAATAGTACTGTAATTGTAAATACAGTATTTTTGTTGTATTGTTGACATATTTTAGCATGTTGTTTGCATTAACATTTTGCTTACT